ATTCAACTTGGGGCGTGCCAAACTGGCACTACTTCTTCTTAGCCCAGAGTCCTGCTGTCTGGAACCGCTGGAGGACTTGTCGGAGAAGTTCCACCAGTTCCTGTTCAGAGGTCCCAGCTACCAACACGTCATTGAAGTATGGTATGACTCCCGGAATGCCCTTGAGGAGTATTTCCATCAGTTCTTGGAATATACCAGGGGGAACACAGATGCCAAACTGCAGCCTTTTTACTTTGAATGCCCCACAGTGAGTAATGTTAGTCTGGGCTTCTGCGGTGGCTTTGTCAACTGGAAACTGTTGATAAGCTTGAGCCAGATCAAGCTTTGTGAAGACTTGACCTCCTGTCAATGATGCCAAAATGTGGCTCACGGCCGGTACAGGGTAGGTGTGTTGTGGCAGGGCCTTGTTAATTGTGCATTTGTAATCTGCACAAATGCGCATGTATTCATGTGGCTTTACTGGAGTGACTATGGGTGTTTCCTAGTGCACATGTGAAACAGGTTCAAGAATGCCCTGGCTGATGAGCTTGTCCAACTGCTTGTCGATCTTTGGATCGAGCGCGAATGGAACTCGCCATGGCTTCACTCTGATTGGTTGGACACTCAGGTCGAGTTCAAAGGAAACCGGTGGGCCTGTGTATTGGCCCAAGGAATCTTCAAAGATGGCTGGAAACTCCTCACGGTGCTGTACACTGATTGGCCAATTTGTTAGACACGCGTAATGTGGATGCCCAATGCCGTGAATCAGTCCAGTCCCAATAAACTTGGGTGGCGACCTTCCACAATGACGATGCGCAGGATTCCACTGAAACCTTTGTAGCTGACGTGGATGAGGCCTGTTCCCACCACTGGCATGCGACAGCCCTGGAAGTCAGTGAGGTGAACCTCAAAGGGTTGTAGTTGTTGGATCAACTTCCTGGGGCATACTTGCTGGAAGGTCTCCTTTGAGATAATTGAGAACGCCAACGCGGAGTCCACCTCCATTTTGCAGGGGTTGCCCTCAATCAGCACAGTCACTCTGATTTTCTCACGTGTCTGTAAGTCGGCACCCTGTTAGTTGATTCCAAGCCAAATGGTGGGCCTTGGCCGGGTTTGGACTACCATGTGGCACACTTTTGGGTGTGAAGACCTCTTTGGAGCCAGCAATGGTTGGCGATGAGGCATCTGTGGGCTGTTGTTGTCTTTTGTTGATCGGCACATACAGGCAATATGGCCAGCCCTGCCGCAAGCTCGGCATTTGTTGTCTCGGAATTGGCACATTTTCCTTGCGTGAAAACCACCACAGCCGGCACAAGGGGTTTCCTTGAAGTCTCTTGGTTTCAGCTTGTGTCACTCCACTCTCATCCACAGGACCTCCTCGTCCTCATCGGTGTCCTCAGTGATGCCTTCCTGGTGAACCATCTCAGCCTTTCAGGTGGTAACCGGACTCCTTGACTGCTGAACTTCCCTGGTGGATTGGTCAGCCGCTTCCGCTGCTAGGGCCTTTTCTTTTTCTTTTTTGTAAGTAACTGTATTTATTTTTTGTTACACCTAAATAACTATAAAAGATAAGAAAGGGGGGGAAAAGGGGGAAAAAAATAACAAACCCCCGGGATACAGGACAGTAAATGAAAAACCCACACTATAACTAAAAGCCCAAGAAAGGAAGGTCTTAAACAGTTAGTAGTCAGTTATAAAACACATAGCTTTTTGTTTAAAACAATGAATTTAGGAGTTAGTGAGTCCAATTTTAGTAATAATCTGTTATCTTCTCAAAGTGTGCAAAGTCTCTTTTATCTTCTTCAGTATAACTCTTTGAGTTTTTGAGGGCTACTTGGGAACTCTCAGTCGCAGATCATATGTTTCCCTGGCCAAGCCTCCTTCTGCTCCTGCTGGGTCTTCGTCCGTTTCTTCTATGCTAGCTGCTGTTAAGCCACTCGCATCTGGCTGTTCCTCTTCTTTCGCTCCGAAGAACTGCTTCAACCATTCTTCTGCTTTGAAAACCGAATCAATCTTTTCTCTTTTCTCTTTATATTTAAACAGCACCCCTTCGAGATAAAGCCAGCTGTAGGAAATTTGGTTTATTTGAAGCGTTGAAATAAGTTCTTTATAAGCTTTTCTCTTCTGTCGAACCTCAAACGGTGTGTCCTTTAGGACCCTGATGTTAACTGCTCCCAGTTGCAAGGGTTTAGTTGCCAGTTCCTTCAAGTTTTCTCCCGCTGATTCCGCCACCCCTTGGAACCTTAGGATCTTGTTAGATTTCTCCATTTGTAGGTTCAACAGTCTTCTATCGTGAAGATCTTGCCTTTGTTCTAGTAAGCCAACTTTCTTCTTTGTCTTTTTAGCATCGTGTGCCGTTTCTTTAATTTTTTCACCGGTTTGGATTGTTTTTTTCATCAGCTCCGCAATTTGCTGTTGTTGTTTTGCCATATTTTGGTTTGAAGCAGCCATTAATTGGTTAAGACCATCGAGCCTTTCGTTTAAAGGGCGGAGCAGCTCCGTTAATGTGGAGAAAACATCTCCTTCGTCAACTCTCGGACTCTGACCCCCTCGTGTAACTTTCAGTCCTCTTCCTTGAGTGCGCTGCTAGGGCCTTTTCTAACGTGGTCTTGAAGTCGAGAACCTTCTTGGTGAATAGCCGCCGCTGGAGTTTCTCATCCCACAGGTGATCTCTCAGGACGATTTCAAGGTCAGAAGTCGGGCCGCCTGGCATAGGGCAGTGACACGAAGGCGGTCACCGTCTCTCCTGGGGCCTGATCACACTTGTAAAATGAATGGCGGCAGGCAATCTCCGAAGGCTGTGGTGAAAAATGGTCCTTCATTCGCTGCATAATCGTGCTGAACTTCTTTGGAGAAATGACGTGGTATGAGGGCCCACTTTGTCTTTGAGTTGATCCGGGGCCACCAAAGCCCGGGCAACCTTGAACGTGGGTCAGCCACAGACGCTGAAGAATATTGTGCACTGCTTTTCGTGTCCTTCTATATCTTTGGCTGTGAGATAGAATTTGAATTAGGCCTGATAGGCGTCCCAATCCTCGATTGCTGCGTCGAAAGGTTCGATATGGCCCTTGGTGGCCATGATTACGGTTGTGAGCTGATGATTTCAGCGAGCAATTTCGGTTTGGGATGAGCAATTTCAGCGAGTGATTTCGGCTTGGAATGAATCTATGGTTGTTGACATCCCATCCTCGTCACCAGTATTAAATATTGAGACAAGGCAGCTGCTTCATAATAACATGCTTTTTTATTGAACATCTGAACCAAAAACACAGGCTCAACAGGAACCAATTCATACTTGTAAAAGCCACACCCACCTTAAACAACAACCAATACCAAGTAGGCAGCTAGTATCCTTCATTTGCATGAACCATATACAATGTAACTATTGACAGTGCAGCTATTGGGTTATAAGCAACAAATATGATTGGCCATTACCGGCAACACAACCAATAGTCTTGAAGGCCTTTGGAGCCTTCACTCAGACCAAAGCTCCATCAGTACATAACACTTCCATTGCAGGGTAGGGATCTGAACCTGGGTCTCCCAGATCATAGTCCAAACCCAATTAAAATGGAATACAAAATGCTGCTTCGTTAAGGTGTTCTCAGCAATGTCCGGATCCAGGCACCATGGAAGGGTACCCAGCTGCTGCCACTACCAACTAAGTTGGTAATTGGAGGGGAGGGGTGTTGCTCAGCAGGAGCTGGATGCAGGCACAGTGGAGAGACAAACTCTCCTGGGTAAATCGTATTTCTGTCTGCTTTTGGAAATACAGCCAAATGTAAG